AGGCAATCCACTCACCTCAGCCTCCCAAAGGCGCGGGATTACAGGCTGAGCCACCAGGCTGAGCCACCGAGCCCGGCTGACATCCAGAGTTTTAACACCTGTCAAAGCTCCTAAGTTACAGAGCCCTGTGGTAAATTTGTTCTTAGCCCATTTCCTTACAATAGTAAACTTTCCTCCAGGAGTTGATACTCCCTAGTTAATAGTGCTTAAGAAGATTAATTGATTGGCTGGGTCATTGGCTCAAGCTTGTAATCCCAGCACTTTGGGAGGCTGAGGTGAGAGGATTGCCTGAGCCTACAGGCTCGAGACCAGCCTGGGCAACTGGTGAGACCTCGTCTCTACAATAAATCAAAAAAATTAGCCGGATGCAGTAGGGTGCGCCTCTGGTTCTGCTACTTGGAAGTCTGAGGCGGAAGGATCGCCTGAGCCCAGCAGGTGGACGCTGGGGTGACTGCGTGTGTGCCACTGCACTCCAGCCTGAGCGGTGGAGTGGCCTCCAACTCAAAAAAAAAAAAGAAGATAATTGATCAGTACAGAGCAAATTTCAGCTTTTATTTGCATTGTAAACATGATTTATAAAAGTAGATTACTGATAAAACTGGATATATATATGTTGTGTCTTCACCTTAAATATTAGAATGTAATTTTTAAAGTATAATTGAATTGTTTTTCTAGAGCATGCTTTAGTCAGTTTTTTATTTTATTATTTTTTTATTTAATTTTTTATTTAATTTTTTTGCTTTTTGAGTTTGGGTCTTTGTCACCCAGGCTGGAATATAGTGGCACAAACTTGGTTCACTGCAGCTTTGACCTGGGCTCAGGAGATCCTTCCATCTCAGCTTCCTGAATAGCTGTATTTAGACATGTGCCAGTATGCCCAGCTAGTTTTAAAACGTTTTTTTATTGAGACAAGGTCTTGCTATTTTGCCCAATCTGGTCTCAAACTCCTGGGCTCAAGCCATCCTCCCACCTTGGGCTCCCAAAATACTGGGATACACGTGTGAGCCACTGTGCCCAGCCTAGAGCAGTATTAGATTATGGGAAAACTGAGAAGATAATAGAGTTTTCACATACCCACCCACTCACCCACACATATATAGTTTCCCCTATAGTGGCATGGTGCATTTGTTACAACTAATGAATAAATATTACTACATTATTGTTAACTTAAGTCTGTATTCAGATTTTCTTAGTTTTCACTGAATGTCCTTTTTCTGTTGAAGGATCCTGTCCATGCCAGTTGTCACATCTACTTAGGCTCCTTTTAGCTAGACAGTTTCTCAGACTTTAGTTGTTTCTAATATCCTTGATAGTTTTGATGAGTTCTTGTCAGGTATAGTATAGGTTGTTCCTCTTGGAATCTGATTTTTTTTTTTTTTTTAATGATTAGACTGGGATTAGGGGCTTATATATGGTAAGACTGTGTTTAACCTTGTAAGGAATTACCAAATTGTCTTCTGAAGAGGCTGTGCCATTTTGCATTTCCACAGCAGTGAATGAACTTTCCATTCACTTCACATCTTTTTCGACATTTGGTACAACCAACCATTCTAATAGATATGCAGTGGTTGGCCTTGATTTTTAAAGTTGATCACCAAGTCTTATTGTCATACTTCACAGGTTGAGCATTCCTAATATGAAAATCTGAAATCCAAAATACTCCGAAATCCAAAACTTTTTGAGTGCCAGCATTCCTGTTTTCTAATTAGGGATGCTTAACCTGTAAGTAAAATGCAAATATTTCAAAATTAAAAAAAAAATTATCCGAAACACTTTTTCTGGTCTCAAGCATTTTAGGTAAGGGGAAATCTATAATATATTTGACTATAGAAACATTAGCTATCTTGTGATATTTTCTTTTAAATTAGCCTTAAGAAAAAAATATGTGTGCTTTTTCCCATACAAATAACTGTTGAAGATGTTTAGTAACATTTATCTTGTTTCATTAAAATAAAATTACCTATCCTCTTTGCTTTCTAAATTACTAATAGCTTATAAGCTACATTCCATTGGTGTTAAGCTATACTCTGTTGTTGTTAATGTCTCCTGTTTAATTACTTTTGGTTAATTTTTTTATTTTCATTTTCCATTCTTCAAAGTCATTTTTGCTTTTTGTTTGTTTTGTTTCTTTGTTCATAAAGCTTTTTTGTTTCTGTTAATTATGTAGTTTTGTACCAATGGCTAGAAGCAGATCGTCATGGCAAGAGCCAAGATGCTGCAAATACGACTTCAGGTAAAAGTAAAAATTTAAAGAAAGATGGGGTGTTGTAAATCATTACTTTAATTCACCCCAAGCCCATTATAAATGTTTCTTTATTTAGTTTTATGTGGACAAACTTATAGGTATTATTTTGTATTTCTGTTCTCTTACCTTCATCTTAATTTTCATAAAGACCTCATTTGCTTCAAGCCTTTAAAAAAACTATTCAGTAGTCTTTCAGCTCTCTTGGCAGATATTTTCTACTTTCTTAGGAGGACAGGCTTAATTGCAGCTTAAATTTAGTAGGAATGTATTTTAGCAATATTGCTTAGAGTTAAGTTGATATATAGTTGGAGCAGGATATTAATATTAATATAAATGCAAATTTATAAGCCTGGTTTGCTTCAGGATAATATTTAAAAGGTAAATTTCAATTAAAGGATGCCTGTGTATAATTTTCATTTCCTAGGAAGCCAAATTCTTAGACCCTGTCATTCTCTTGCTTCGTCCTAGCAGTAAATTCTAAGTTACAGGCTTAAAAACGTGTTCAAAATGAGATGTGTAGGTTGTGCCCCATCTTCCATCTCCAAAATGCATTTGCCAAGATTCCTCTTTGGCTGGTACTAGTAGGAATAGCTGCAGACGCTCATTTCTAAATCCTTAACAATAACATCAGAATTTCTAAATAGTTGGTTCTTCCCCTAGTAGCCTTCAAAATCATATTTGCCAAGACAGCTATGTATATATAGCAGTGATCTTTCCTGTTGTCCCCCTTTCTTGGCATTCTAATAAGTAGTGGTGGTGGTGGTGGAGGTGGTGGTGGTGGTGGTGGTGGTGGTGGTGGTGGTGGTGGTGGTGGTGGTGGTGGTTGTTTTGTTTTACTTTTGTTAGATTTGTGTTATGTTTTGTGGGCTTTTTTGTTTTTGTAAAATTCTTTCTCTCTGGAGATGGTTTCCTTCTCTCCTTGATTCTTTGTGCCTCAAGAGGGTGTGATGTTCCTTAGTTAACAGAACAATTATATTGAGAATGACATTGTCATGACTTTTCTGTTATCTCCTGTTCTATTAATAACTTGGTATATGAATGAAGATAATGTTACTATTTTAACCATACACAGGCAGGAACTCATTAAAAGGTAAGTGTTGCAAGGAGTTATATTATGGGTTATATGCTGTTTCTTCTGCTACTACAGTGGTCCATATTTTATTTATATTTAGAGATGATAAAAACAAGCATTTCTGGCATTTGAGGGTGAGCAAAGGAGAGGTTTCTTGGTGGCTATATATCATCTGAGGATACCTGTTGCTGTGTCAGTTGCACAATCAGCAACATGGACTTTTAGAACTGGGAGGGAATTTTTGTTTTATCTTGTTTTTTTCTTGAACTTGAAGTGAAAAGTGATCTCTTTAAATTTTATTTATTTATTTATTTATTTTGAGTCACATTTCATTCTGTTACCCAGACTGGGGTGCTGCAGTGGCATAATCACAGCTCACCGCAGCCTCGACCTCCTAGGTTCAGGCGATCATCCCTCCTCAGCCTCCCAAGTAATTGGAATTACAGGCATGTGCCACCATGCCCAGCTAATATTTTTATTTTTATTTCTATTTTTGTAGCGACAAGGTCTTGATGTGTAACCTAGGCTGATCTTGAACTCCTGGGCTCAAGCAGTCCTCTCACTTCAGCCTCCCAAGGTAGTGACCTTTTTTTAAATGAAGAAGTGAGTAATCTAAAAATTCTTAGTGTTCACACACAAATCTAGTATCAGCTTAAAGACATCATTTACCCTTCCTGAAATCAATAAGTCTGAACCATGAATCTGTTCTCCAGCCACATTGATTCTCAGGGACTGTTTTACGTTTCTCCACTGACTTTTTGATATTTACATACTGTAGAAGCATGGTACAAAAATTGATCAACTTTCCTTAGAGAAACCTTTGACAGTTTCTCTTCTAGAAGTGAAAGCTCTCAACTCTTAGAAGATGGAAGTGTGAGGTAGAAAGATACAGAGATAAAGTACTTACCTAAGTAAGTCAGACTAATTCATAGGAAAATGATCAATCCAAAGAAAATGGTCATTAACCAATGACTTCAATTAGAAACAATAGTTTAGTTGCCTCAGAATTACATTTAAATTGTGTCCTTATTAAAAAAAAAACCTGTGTATTTTTTTTTAATTTTTTTTTCTGTTTATAAGAGTATTTCTATTTATAAAAGTTGAAATAGTTCTATAAATAGAAAATCACATTTCTTTTTTTTTTTAATAATTAATCAGTATTTTTTATTAGAGTTTTGTGGGGTACAGTTAAGGGTTAGGTGTACAATTACGTTTCATTCAGACACCCTGTTGATAAGAGGTGTTTTCCCAGCCCCAGACAGATACTTGCTACTGTTAATCACCTGTGTATTTTATATTGCAGTCTCCAACAAGATTTTCAAGTGTGACTTTTCCCTCCTTCTATGATCTGTTAAGTTTTGCACTCAGAGGTGTTTCAGTATATGTCTTTTCATATTTTTACCCAAAATGGAAACTGAGTCTAACTAGATGTCATAGTATGACTCAGAAATCAGATTGCTTTGTGATATTTTAAATTGTACAAGTAGTGGTAACTGACATTTATCTATTGGTATAATAGCTAGTATTCTGCACTTAATTAGAACTTAAGGAGCAGCCACTGCACTCCAGTCTGGGCGAGAGAGTGAGACTCCAACTCAAACAAAACAAAACAAAAAAAAAGAACTTAAAAAGTTGAGAAACACAGAAGATAGAATTAAATTGCTTCAAGATCTTCTATGTCCTTGATCCCAAATTGTTTACATTGGGAATTAAAGACCTATCTACTTTAAAATATTTTATGAAACTAAAGCATTTGGAGGTAACAGGTTTTATGGGAATTAATTTGGTCAAGGATATGAAGAAATGATCTGACAGCTATTATTGAATTCTCTTACATATAATAATCAACATATAGCCTACTTTTATCTTCCAGAATTTTAACAGGTAATGAATTTGATTTAGAATAGCTAATTTATTTTAAAAGGGTAATGTGTTTAATATGTTCTGTCTGTTAAATTGGTGACTCAGCAGTGATGTTTCTGTTAATTCTGTTACTAAGAACTTGAGTTTGCAATCACATTTATCAGATTTTTGTGGAAACTCAAGCAAAATTACCTTCTTTGAGCATTACAACATTGGATCTACCTATGTATAAAGTTTCAGGATTGTAAGAAGTACGATTAGCTTAATTCAATATGTTTTTTAGTGAAGTAAATATTTTCTTATACATTTTAAAAATCACCACATAATAAAATAAGAACAATAATTAGGTTACAGCAATGATTATATTACTGTGTATTATTTTTCAGTATCAGTTGTCTAGCCAGTATTTTAAAATTCGGATTTTGAAGTTTTAAATGCAGATCTTTTATTAACAGTATTTTAGTTGTGTATTGGGAATCTTACAACTCAGACTATTAGAGGTGGAAATTGAATCAGATGTCAACATTATCAGCCAATATGTATAAAATAAATATAAAACTATGACATACTTTTGGAAAATTCTGGATATTAACTATATTAATTATTTGTTGTAGGTGAAAATTTTGACCAGAGTCCTTTGAGAAGAACATTCAAATCCAAAGTTCTTGCTCACTATCCTCAGAATATAGAATGGAACCCTTTTGATCAAGATGCCGTGAACATGGTATGTGTTTTTCTTCTTCATTCTCTCTTTAGCCTACTTTTAATTTTATTAAAATGAAGATAGTGACTATAATTGGAATGTCTTCGTTATTTAATTTCTCCTTTGAGCAATTTTATAAGAAATAGACAATTGTCTCCATTTTACAGATGTGGAGACTGAAGTGCAGAGAAGTGAAGTGACTTACCCAGAGTTTCCACAGCGAGTAGGTTTATATCATAGACCCTAAAGCCCATGTTAGTTTCCTGCTATTAAGCTGTGCTGTGTATTTGTGTTAATTAATACGTGGAAGCTTTGATTAAACAGTGATATTGCTTTGTTTCTCTGAGTGGAACCTGATAGAAAGAGCCTGGTTATAATTTTCATACTTAAAGGAATATTGTATGGTAGGCCTGTAATTTGTTATTTTCACAGGCAATGTAAAAATGAAAAGGAACTTAAATGCATCATTTAGGCATGAGTAGCAATTTGTAAAGAATCTGGATTAATGTAATGAGTTACCAAGGCTGATTAAATGTCTCCCTTAACTGGGCATGGCTCGTGCCTATAATTCCAACTACTTGGGAGGCTGGGCAGGAGGACTGCTCGAACCAAGGAGTTCAAGACCAGCCTGGGCAACATGGCAAGACGTTACCTCAAGGTAGATTGGTAGGTAGGCAGACAGACAGACAGTCTCCCTTAAAGGTTCTTAGAAATAAAGTAGGTCATAGTTTTCAGGTTACTTAGGAAGGATTCTTTTTAGAAGACTGGATAATATCTTAGACTCCATCAACTCTGTGATTATATAATTCAGGGGACCCCAAAGTGATCAGAAATCAGGCATGAGAGAAACAGAAATGACTAATGGTGAGCTGAGACACTGTGATAGACACTGTTCTTTTTGAGTATTTTAAAGATAGTGATAAAGAGACAAAAGAAGACTGGGTATGGTGGCTCATGCCTTCTGGGGCGATCTGGGAGACCAAGGTGGGAGGATTGCTTGAGCCCAGGAGTTCAAGACCAGCCTAGGCAACATAATGAGACCTCACCTCTACAAAAAATAAAAAAAATCAGCCAGGCATGGTGGCATGCTTCTGTAGTATCAACTGCATGGGAGGCTGAGGCAGAAGGACCACCTGAGCCCAGGAGGTCAAGGCTGCAGGAAGCCATGATCATGATCACTCCAACCTGATATGCCGAATCGAGAGAGAGGGAGAGGGAGAGGGAAAAGACTCCATTAAGTCCTGATAATCTAAGAGAAGGAAAATATTTAGTAGATACCTGCTAGGTACTTTATATAGGTTATTTTCACATACATGGACCCAGTTATAATTTTTTTATTTCCCTGAAGAAATAATTTGCTCACAGTTATGCAGTGAGGCTCAGAAGTTAAATACAGATCATTATTACTCTCTGGCTCACTTTTTTTCTACTTGCCACACTGCCTTCTCAAAATAAAAACGATATAACTTCATTTTGATCTATTCCAGAAATGCCATGGGTCACACTGGACCCTTTGTATACTGTTGTATCACAGGAAACTCTTACCAGTCTAGATTTCCTCCAAAGAGGGGATAGCATGGTGCTTTTTGTAAGAGCAGATGCCTACAGCACTTGGCCCTGTGACTCTGATGCTTATAGGCACACTGTGATGATTTTCCTAAACTCTTAACCCAATATTGTACTAAAATAATTAGAAATGCCAGTTTGCTGGAAGTTAATACTATGGATGCCTAGCATCATCTTTGATGATGACAGTGCTATAGGTACCAAGTAGAACACAACTGTTAGTTTTCTTCATGAGACTTGGAAGAGTCCAGACAAGAATTTGACTAAAATAATTAACAAAATAGCAGTGACAAAAAATAATTTATCAGCTCTTATGCAGTAAATTAATAGAAAGGTATTAAGAGTGTGAACAGATTATAAAACTTAATTTTCTTAAATCGGTAAAATATTTCAAAGTATAAGTTATTCTGAGCTGGGCTCGGTGGCTCAGCCTGTAATCCCGCGCTTTGGGAGGCTGAGGTGAGTGGATTGCCTGAGCCCGCGGGTTCGAGACCCGCCTGGGCAACTTGGCGAGACTTCATCTCTACAATAAATCAAAAAATCAGCCGGACATGGTAGCGCGTGCCTGTAATTCCGGTTACTCGGAAGGCTGAGGCGGAAGGATCGCCGGAGCTCAGCAGGTCGAGGCTGCGGTGGCCAGGAGCGGCCACTGCACTCCAGTCTGGGTGACAGAGTGAGACTCCAACTCAAAAAAAAAAGTTATTCTGTGAGAAATCAGAATGATGTCCAGGACTAGGTTCTTACTAAAATATGAATCCACAGTCATTTTGAATGAAATGATGCACTTAATGTATTTTCTTTTTTTTCATCATTTGAATGAACTAATATGAGGTATCTATGGTGACTTTTGCGTCTGACTGCAAATCATGCTTCTCTAAAGTAATTATCAGCTTCCTTGATCTTATTTTCTTTACCCCTTGCCCCTGGGTTATTTTATGTAAGCAGCAAAAATTTACCTCTGAAGAATAAACACAAAGGCTGTGTTTTGATAGTTAAGCACCACGTAGCATTTTTTTAATTGCTGCAAATCTAAAAGAATTTGCTTGCACTCCTTGAAAATCTCTGAAAAGCATCCCATTAAACTAGTTTGCATTTGGGTCATACATTTACTGCCCTTAATTTCCTCTTTGCTTTATTAGTAAGTGCATTTATATGAAGCTATAATTTATACCCACCTAAAGATATAAAGCTTTGTCTTGCCTTTAGAAAAATCCCACTGCAGTGAGTCATCACTTTCTGTAATATCAGTCATTCCTCTAACAAGCAGCAGTGTTGCTTGAAATAAAAGGTCATTAATTTTATGCATAAATTAAGTACCCAAAGCAATGAAACTTGTTAAATAAAAAATTTCATGTATATAAGTATAGTACAAATAAAATAGAAAATGAATACAAATAATAAGTGAAATTATCTGAATTGTTTGCTATTTATACTTTTCTTGGTTGCTAGTTTAGGTGGTTGTTTTTTGTTCTTTGTTTTTTGAGTTGGTGTCTCACTCTGTAACCCAGCCTGGAGTGCAGTGGCACGGGGATGACTCGCTGAAGCCTCAACCTCTCCCCTCAGGAGATCCTCTCCCCTTACCCTTCTGAGAAGCTGGAACTACAGACACATACCACCAGACCCAACTAATTTTTTTACTTTTTTGTAGAGATGAGGTCTTGCTATGTTGCTTATGCTGATCTCAGACTCCTGGGCTCAAGCAATCCTCCTCCCGCCTGTTTTCCAAAGTGCTAGGATTATAGGCAGGAGCCACTGGGCCTGGCCCAATTTAGAGATTTTTATGAAATAAATAGAAGTATCATAAATAGAATCATACAGTAAACAATCATATACTAATCACTCAGAACTAACATATCCAGGGAGACACCTCTTATCAACAAGGGTGCCTGAACAAAGCATATTTGTATACCTAACCTTTAACTGTACCCCACAATATCATAATAAAAAATATTGATTATAAAAAAAAGAACTAACATATCAACATTTAGATGTTTGCTTCAGATCTGTACTTTTCGTTTTAAATGAAACAAAGCATTGCAAATAGAGCTGAAGGTTCCCTAGCCCAACTTTCAGATCTCTTTGAGGTAATCTGCATTTTGACATCCATGAGTATTTATATAATGTTCTAGTTGATATATCTTATCCTTAAGAATGTATTATACCTAGGAATTCTTAGGACAAAAACATGGTTAATAACATTTTGAGTTTTTTTGAGTCAGAATCTTACTTTGTCACCTAGGCTGGAGTGCAGTGGCACAGTAATGGCTCACCACTGCCTCAACTTCCTGGGCTCAGGCTGTCCTTCTGCCTCAGTCTTGTGAGTAGCTGGAGCTATAGGCACACATCACCATACCTGGCACATTGTTTTATTTTTTGTGGAAGCAAGGTTTCTCTGTTTTCCTAGCTGATCTCAAACTCCTGGCCTCAAGTGATCCTCTCACCTTGACCTCCCAAAGTGCTGGGACTACAGGCATGAGCCACTGTGCCCAGTCAGTTATACCTTTTTAAGCAAGACATACAAGATTTCTATTTTCTATATCTGTCCTCAGTGAAGCGTCTGATTTATATTTCAGTTAAGAGTAATAATTACTACAAAGCTCTTAGTTTACAACTTACTGTTTGCTTTGATCACCAAGAAAGACATATTGGAACAATGAACAAAAAATGAAGGGTAAAATGTTGGCTGAAGAAACCTATTTGGATGCTCATCTTGTAAGATTTTAAGGAAAAATTTGAAATGGAAATTTAAGGAAAAATTTGAAATGGATAACCTCAAATTGTATTCACAGGTTTGACATTAAAATAAAAGCAAATCCTCATTCTGAGTCAAGTTTAAGCTCATATCTCACAATAGACTCATAAGAATGGGGCCCTAACCTAGCCATTGCTGGGGGGAACCCCTGTTTCCTTAACACTGCAGCTAAAATATTTCACTGGCATCTTAAAACTCAGCACATTCGAAACTGAATTCACATTTCTTCTACCAATCTTGGTCAGTGAGTGGTACAACCATCCACCTAGTTGCCTGGGCCAAAATCGGAGCATTCTTAAAGTTCTCACCCTCTCCCATAAACCATCAGTCATCTGTCTGATTCTTTCTGTTTCCACACAGCCTTGGTCCAAACCGTCAAGATTTCTCAACTCGACTCCTGTAGTAACTAACTGACCTTCTGCCCTGTCCTTTTCATTCTTCATACTATAGCTTCTGCTTATGCTGTTTCTCGTCTCTAGGAGGTTCTTGCAGCTCTCCTTCACCTAGTGGATTCTTACTGTTCTTTTGGAATTCGTTTTAAACTTGAAATTTTCTCAGAGAAGCCACCCCTGACCATCACCTTTCACTACGCTCACAACCCTCAGTCAGGTCCCCTTAGGTTCTTTTAGCACCTTGCACCTCATTGTAGCTCCTGTCCCAGTTACAATTAAGTGATTATGTCACTAGTAGTCAACAGTGTATC